TGAATTGCGAGTATAAATGTGGCAGGTCAGTTGTTTTGGGAGGTGCTTCTATCCATTTTTGCCCAGTCATAGAACAGTAGAAATTAACCAGACTGATAAATAGAACATGAGAGCTGATTTTGAAGAAAACAGTGACCAGTTACAGCCCTTGAATGTAAGTTCTGCAGGAGCAGTTTTAGTTGAATTCTGGTGCCCAAGCAGTTGAGAGATTGTGTGGAGAAACTGGGTCCTGCAGCTGACCTTGATGCACAGTAGCTGGGCAAGAAGCTGTTCAGGTGAGTGTGCTCTTGCTTCTGCACAACAGTGACTGCTGCTGCCAGACTGATAGAATATTTAGCACAGTACTTGAGTGTCTCATGACTTTCAGAAGGAAATTGAGAGGAGATAGACCTCTGGTGAGTTGTGAACTCTGCATTAGTATTTTGACTGTCATTTTGGACATTATTCCATATTGTTTAAAGACGTGTACAGGTTTGGTTATTCATGGAAGAATTCTCATCTGTGAAGAAGGGAAACTGTATTCTGCTTTGCTTCCTTTTCAGTTGCTTTTTCACTTGTTTATTCCTTTGTAGATGTTTTTAAGTGCTTGGCTCTGTGTAACATCTCAATTCTGACTTGGTGCTGCTTTGCTTTTCAGGAAGCCAAGGAGAAGAGACAGGAGCAGATTGCAAAGAGACGCCGGCTTTCCTCACTGAGAGCATCTACATCTAAGTCCGAGTCAAGTCAGAAGTAGATGTACACGATACTAAAAATAAACCCTTTTTGTGATTAACTTTCACTGTAAGACTTTACAGTGCATGGTGTTACTGGACATCAAATAAAAAGTCTTAAGGCTAACTGCATCATGCAGACCAGAACTGTGGACTGGGACCACAAACTTTGGTCTTGACTCAGTTCTCTTTTGAGGACTTCCAATGTATATTTGTATCTTCACTGAGAAGGTCCAGTTTATGATAACCTTGTGCACGTGTTGGGTTTTCTGCAAGCAGGATTTATCTGTAGCAGCAAAATCCTGTTTGTCTCAGAGTGCACAGGATCTAAACACCAAGTTAACTTTTAGGAGCTGTGGCTAGAACTGACTTGGTACTGTTCTGTGGCTGGTTTGGTTCTCCTTAAATCTTCAGTACAGGCTGGTGTTTCCAGATGAGGAATTGTCACTTGCTTTTGATGCTGAGCACAAGATGGGTAAAATGGAAAAGCCTTCAGCTGATTCTTGGCAAGATTAGGTGCAGTTAAGTCAATCACTGGAACAGGCTCCCAGGGGAAATGGTCACAGCGTGAAGCTGCTCAGGGAGTTGCCTGAATGACACCTGCCAGTCATGTGGTTTGGTTTTAGGTAGTCCTGCAAGGAGCTGGAATCATAGAATCATTAAGGTTGGTAAAGTCCTAAAAGAACTATGTCCAACCATCAATGCAACACCTTTTTTTTTTGCTGCGACCAAACCGCATGTCCTGAAGCATCACATCCATGTGTTCTTTGAACACCACCACCTCCCTGAGCAAAAGCAGTTTGAGTTGATCATAAAATCCTTTAGGTTGGAAGAG